AGTGAGTACATGTCTTCTAACTTTGTTTCCTTTCTTCAGCTTTAACAAGTTTCAACTGTTGGTTATAAATAGACATTTTATTATTTAGAGCAAAAAAAAAAGTAATAAACACATGTTTGTCTCTCACAGGGTGACTCAGGTGGAGGACTGGTGTACAACAACATGATTTATGGTGTCATTGTACTGGTTCATCCTACAGTTGTCTGTGGTTACCCAYTTTCATCTATGGACCTCTGTCATGGCCCATACAATCAGTGGATCAGACGTATTATCACCCCATGAGGAGCAAATGCAGCTTTTGGTTGATGGTGAAATGTTCAGTTATTTAACAGACATTTCACATCTCTAAAAAAAAAAATGCTGAGTTGCTCTGAATTTACAGTTGATGTCATTGTTCATTAAATCTTTTACCATCATTTGTTAATTCATGAAACATTTTTCACACAATTGTATTGTAGGAAATTAAATTTGTAAAAACACAATTGTGCATTACGTAAATTCAACAGATTACAAATGTAGACATGATAATAGTCTGCTCTTCTTTTACCAAGACTGAGAAGAAAATGAACAATTTGACTTTCCAAGATTCTGTCAACTGAAATAAAATGAGTAACAGTTCATTTGTGGCTTGTTGTTTTTAAGGTCCCAGTGTCAAAGTCAGAAATACACATGAACACATTCCTGCACAATGTGAAGCTTCTCCAGTCAATGTTTTGTTTTACCTTTGTTACCAATGAATCGACAGTGAAAAATCACCAGAGAGGAAAGAACCTTATACAAATGTTTTACTTATGTATTTAAGTTCGGCTCCACGTGGAATACTCGTGGGAAGACAAAATAAATGCATCAAAATAGTTCAATCAACAACTGGGCTTTTACCACAGTTGTCCCCACGATTATTGTGACTATGTGTCTAATGATTGTCCGTGATGTCTGTCCTAAACCGCAAAGAGGAAAGTTGGAGCTACTTCAAAATCCMAACTCAAAATCCAGATCGTCAGAGCTGTCGAAGTTTCTTTATACATCTTCAAAAGCTCAGAGAGCCACAAGAGACTATTCAATGTCCTGTGAATGAGACCTGACACTTCTCACAGGTCAAAGTTAAGAAGAGTAAAATTATATGCAAATGATTTCTAAAGAAATGAAAGTGGTAACCAGGTGAAGGCTTCAGATTCAGTTACACACAGGGAAACAGAAGCAGACTCACTGGAAGCGAACACAAACGGGGCCATTATTCGATTTAAGCAGTTTCAACAGTGTGCTAAAAACACAAACTATGCCGTTCTGTATTTGAGAAATAAAGTTAACATGAAGAATTAAAAAAAATTTGCCAGTGCTAGTGTGGTCCACGTAACACAGACTGATGTGTCCCATTCTGCTGATAGATCCCTGTAAACCTTTCACACTGCACCTTTAAGTCAGTTCCACTTGATCTCAGTTTATGGAGTGTTAGAGCAGAAACTGTCGGTAGGAATGAAAACCCTATTTGCATAAATGTGCGCAGGTCTGCAGCCAATAGGATTGTGTTGATTAGTGCATTAGGGTTTGACCGTCAGCTGCCACTGCTGAGACAGAAAGAAAGTGAATATATGACTGAGAACAATTGTTTTTACGAAGCTATGTCAAGGTACTTGTGTTACAATTTCACGTTTGAATAGATTTTTATCAGTTTCTGCATTTGTCTGTATGTCTTTACTTCATATATTTTGATGGCAGTTCACCGGTTTTCTATCCACAAGTACAGCTATGAGTCAATMTGTTTTATTTTTCTTTCTCTTGTTTAGTTTTGATATTGATGACTGTTGTCACACAGTTTTTTTTATTTCTTCTTGTTCTCCAAAGCATTGTTTTCAACCATATTCAACYTCACTGCACATTTGGGGGAAACCTGCGGTAGAACACGTCATCAAGCATCTCTATTGATCCTAACTGGAGCTGTCAGCCCCGCAATCATCAAGTCAAGGATAATCTGGTTTGAAAAGGCTGCCCACCTCGCTGCAGCACATGGGAACAGATCACTGAGCCTCTGAGGAGGCTTTACACTGTGAAGAA